CGCATTTGCACTCGCATTTCCTCCTTGCCACTGACGCTGATGCTGCAAGTGATGGGGATGCGAATGCCGCTGTTGAGCCTACACGACTAGGGCTTATTCGTCCCCACCAACCCCGCCCCCACTGCCTGCTCTCTCACCTACTCGTCCCCCGCCAACACCTCCTGCTCTCTCTTCCGCCTTCCCCCCTGCTGCGCCATTTCGTCTCAAAGGACTTCCCCCGGCCCTCCCTGCTGCGCCACTCACACCCGCCCTATCCGCCCCCCGAATCTCCCCCCTGCCTTCCCCCTGCTGTTCCTGGCGCTGCATCCCTCCTTCCACTCGGACTCCCCACGCGCGCCCTCCCCTTCCCTGCAACCACTGCTCTCTCCGCACTTTGCCCCACAGTTCCCGCACTCCCCCCAAAGCTCCCCCCTGCACTCTCCCTTGCGCTCCCCCTTGCACTCCCCCTTGCGCCCCCCCCAGCGCCCCTGCCCTTCCCCTGATGCCCAACCACCCGGGATCACTCACTCCACCTCCCAGTCACAGCAATGCTATGCCGGTCCAGGGATAAAGAACCCAAACCCCCCATCCCCCCGCCCCCTGCTTTCCTGCCCGCTAGCTCTGGGCTGTAACTGCTGGTCAGCGGGCCAATCCCGCTCGCCCAATCCGGTCGTTTAATGCTGCCCAAGCTGCCCGGACTGCCTCTCCTGGCAGGGCTGTCGGACTTGCCTCTGCTGCCCGGACTGCCCGTGTTTGCCCTCCTTCGCTCCTCTGAAGGCGACCGGCCAACCACCCCCTGCGCCCCTCTTGTTCCGCCTCCTCCGCTTCCCCCTCCCCCTGGTGCTATCCCCCTGGTGCCAGGGCCTGAGCGTGTGGGGGAGGCGAAGGCAGCGGAAGGGCGAGGGCTCTGCTGGCGGACTGACATCCGCCCCGATCCCCCTTCTACCCTTCCCCCTGCCCCTCCCCCTCCTCCCGCTCCCCCCGCCTCGCCCGTCTGTATCCGCGCCCCCACTCCACTTCCCACCTGCTGCCTTTCCAATCACTGCTCTCCCCTTGTCACTTGGTTTACCGCCACCAATACCGCTCCCGCTACCCCTATCGCTCACACTCGCTACAAAGCTCCCACTCCCCACCATTACTCCCCATGCCACTCCTCTTTATGTCCTTCAAACCGACCCTAATCTCCCCCGACCTATTCACTGCGCTGCTCTCCTCACTACCACTCTTTCCTTGCCCTCGTCTCCCCTCGTCTGCATCCGTTGCACCATTGGCCTCCCTCACACCTTCCGCAGGTTCCTTCCCCACCCACTCGCCGCTCCCGTTTGCCAATCCCCCGGCGGACGTTTCTTCTGGCGCTAAATCGGGCGCGAGTGAACTCACTGACGGCCCTGTTGACTCAGCACTCTGCTCCTCCCTATGCGGCGCCAATTCAGGGCGCCACTGCCGCTACATGCGTTCCATCTGCTGTGTCCTCCCTTCTGCCACCCACGTCCGCCAGCCCCGCTCTGCTCCGCGCAGACTTCCAACTGCGCAGCTACCCTCACGCTCTGCTCCCCGGCGTCGCGCAACCCGTTGGCTCGCGCAAAATTGAGCTGGAACTGCCTCCCCTCGTCCGCGGCGCTTAGACTGACAGCTCCGCCGTCTATGCCGCCTGCGGATCGCAAAGCCTCCTCGTTTCCAGGTCGATCAGAACTTTCACTATTCCCGTTATAGTCTAGCGAGCCGTTAAGGTTTGACGCGCCGTTGGCCTGCGGCGTGCGATTTGTCCCCGCGCCGTTGCTCGCATCGCTACTTTGGCCGTCTCTTCCGGCGACAACCACTAGTGAAACCGCCGCTAACGGCGGTGCTCTCGAGGTTGCTCGTAGTAAGGTCGTCGTCTCGAATGGCGGTACCGTTAAGGTCAGTGAGAAGATCGCCGCCTCGAATGGCGGCGGTACTCCCGAGGTCAGTGAGAAGATCGTCGTCTGAGAGCTGACCCGCATCGTCGAACGCCGGGCCGAGACTCCATCGCTTTCCCTCGTTGTCTGAATCTAACTCCCAGTCGGCTTCCATGTTAAGGTTATACGTACTTCACCATGCTATGTTACAACTGAAAATGGGCCTGGCATTTTCAAGGGATGGTGTTGAGCAATTTTCAAGGAGGTTTATAAACTCGAGGGAGTTCGTGCAATTTTCAAGGGCCCCGGTCAGCCCCGCAGCACACCCTTGGCTCTGTCGGTTTTCCGTACGATGTGCGGGCAGATTTATGAATGAGAGCGCCAATGAATTGACGAAACCTGTCACGAACTTACCATCTCAGGTGGCAAAAAACTGACCGTAAGCACATAACCGAAAAAAATGCTCTGGGGGAGGTTGCAGAATGGCAATATTTCGGTTGAAACTGGCTCATTGTTGGGAGTAGAACAATGGGTACCAATATGCTGCATAGCCTTGCGTAGTAGCAAAGCCTTTATCACTTGTGTCGCATGGAGTTATCGTGCACATGTAAAATGTTATGTCGGGTACGCGGACCTGATACAAGTTTGACTGCAACTCTCGCATCTCGCCGTTCGTATTGCCACGCGGGAAGCATCTGTTGCCAATGACTGAACCCGGGGCGCTGAAGAGAGTGCTCAGAGCCGTGCAGCCAGCTGAGCATTCCCAAGGCGCCTAAATTCGCGCGGGAAGTTCCTTGGTGCGAGCATTGTACGCTTGACCAGCGCTCCGCACTGTGGTCCCAAGCTCAGCCCAGACCAGCACGCGCCACGCTGGGACTGGTGGTTCGGGGTTTGGCGCAGTCGGGCACGCAAAACCTGCTTCGGAGGAACCGCGTGAAGCTGGCTGTCTCGGTTTTGGACCTCGTGTGGTTCCTCGAACCTCGATTTTCCGAACCTCCGTGTCGTTCTAATTAACCAATCAAGTGGGTATGGTCTCCGACTGCGATCGGAAAGAACATTGCTCTTCTCGAGAACATCAGGCGTGTGTGGTGGCGGTGAGAGCGCGCTCAGGAGACTGGCAGGGAATCATCGAGCGTGCTCAATGGTTCTCTATGGTTCTGTACGTTCAAAAGCATTGTAGTAGAAAATAAAGCGGTTAAGTAGACGCCAGTGATGGCAGGAAATTAAGGGAGATTGTGGTCACTTGTCATTAGGAGCTGAGAGCTTCTGTTGAAGGACGTCTTGTTCCTTGCTTTCGATAGTGTCATTTGATTCTACGCATGCTGTAGCGTGTTGCTGTTGCTGGCCTCTTTCAGAAGGCAACTAGTTGGCGGTAGTCGCTTTACACGTGAATGTTTTATCCACTAGCTGTGGTTGAAAGAACACTCGATCGATCGCAATCCAGTAACTATTCGAGCCGAACTAAGCGAAGCCACCGCTGCGCGGCTTCCCTTGTGCCAACGTTTCCCCTACTGCAGTGCCATTAGAAATGTCTCAGTGTCTCCTACATTTATTGTGAACTTAGAAGCTACTCTAGTCTAATCCTCTAGTTATTTGTCGCGATTTGAATCAAGGACGCAATGAAGCCGGAAAGATCGCTGTGTTGCGATTGGCTGTCGTGCTCACTGGGGTGGGTATGGAACCACCCGCGAATGAAGAATTTCCGCAAGGTCGCCTACAACTTCAAGATGACGCTCGTCTGCGGCTTCATCACCTTCCTCGTCTTCCGCGGCACCTTCGGCGCCGGCAAGTTCGGCACGCCGTTTCAGGATGCCGAGATTCTCAACCGCGAGCTCCGGTCCTTCCAAGAGAAGGGCCTCCTCAAGGTTCGTGTCGGTCGTATTGCGAAGCGACTGCTTGTTCAAGATCCTGTGAAGCGCGTTCTGAAAATACACGATCGCGGGATAGAGTATTGATGTCGACCGGAGAAGCTTTTGAGACTCGTCTTAGGAATCGATGTCGCGTGGTGCGTGTTTCATTCTCTTAAAGAGGGGCGTGTGGAGGCGCGGCGTGGATGAATGGCTACGATAGTGTGCTGAACTCTCATGGATCGACGGTTGCGACTAGGAAATTTCCCCTCATGATTCCACGGCTTAGATTTTTGCGTTTAACTTTCGTGGACTGACAGAAGATTCGGCCCGTTCCCTTCTTCGTCTTGCGCATTCATCCTAGTGAAACGAATCGCACCGCTGATTGACTCGGGTTTCGTCAGATCGCTATCGCTGGTCGTTACGGATGCAATCACGGACACCCATCCTGCGATTTGAAGTGTAGGACAACGGCGATAGCTAAGCGCATGTCTATCCTGAGATTATTGATTTGGGATCTATTACCCATGGGTTCTTGTAGTTGTAAGCGTAACAGTAGCAGCCTCTCGTAAAGCCTTTTGTTTTTCTTCCGTAACAGAAGCAGCCTCTCCCATTCTTACGAGCCAGTTCTCTCGCCCCTTTCCGCTCATAGTGCCCTGTAGCAACAGCCCCTGCATAGCCCACAGTATACTTGGACCTCATGTTTTCACGAACGGATTCGTTCTTCTGGGCAGATTTTGCAGTTTTACCGCCTGTCAAATCGCCATGCACTCTTTCTAGCTCGATCGATAACCGAACCGTTGGGCGGGTTGAAGTGATCGGACTCTATTCGTGCTTTCCGGCATTGCCAGTCATGGGAATAGATGCGCGCATCGACGACTACTCGTCCTTTCTCCCCGCGATCCACCCGTCACTTGCTTGCGATGCCTCCCGTCCTCTGGTCCCTTTTTGCCATTTCCGCCGTCTCTCCTTGTCCACCTCATTCCCTCACGTCTAATTTTCTCCCGTTCCCGCGTTGGATTCTCTGCGCTGCTGCAGCACCGAAATCTCCGAGTCCTCTCAAATGTCCATTTTCTTGTCCCCCGCCCCCCGCTGCCACGTGGCAGTCGCGGGAGAGCCAGCTGCTCTTCCTGCAGGACAAGATGACGGACCGCAATTCGCCGTACCGCGCCGGGCCCAACATCACAGGTATGGCCGTCACTCCCGGCTGGCTACTGCTGTAACTTGTAGAAAGAGTATATGTGCCGAACTTCCCTTGCCTAAATGCTCTAACCCCAATCTTCCTTTCCCGTTCGATACCCCGCCTCTCTCCTAACCAACTCGCGTCTTGTTTCCGCGTTCTCCCCCTCCCCTTCCCCTCCCCCCCATCCCTCTCCCCCCCGCCCCTTTTCCCGCCTCCGCGACGCTTCCTCACCCGTTTCCACCCCCCACTCTTTCCTGACCGCTCCTTCTCTTTGGCCTCCCCGCTCGCTCCGTAGAGATCAGAAGCGCGCCGAGTGCATAACGTTCCCCATTCCGTCTTAAAACCCTCACGATCCGTCCCCCTCCCTCCCTCCTTCCCCCCCTCCTCCCCCCGTTTCCCCCTTCCCCGTCCCCATTCCTCCATTTCTGCCCGCGCTTCTCCCCTCCCCCCCCCCCTCCTCCCCGCTCCCCCTTCACAGACTGGGACGAGCAGCGCGCGGAGCACATAGCCTTGAATCCCGGGTGCAACTCCACCAGTGACGGGCGGCCACGTGTCATGATCGTGTCGACTTCCCAGCCGAAGCCGTGCGAGCACAGCGTGGGCGACCACTTCCAGCTCTTGTTCCTTAAATCGAAGCTGGACTATGCGCGTACGCACGGCATGGTGGTATACCACCACATGGTCCGGCTGGACAAGGAGATGAACGGCATGTGGGAGAAGCTGCCGCTGCTGCGCCGGCTCATGCTCGCGCACCCCGATATAGAGTGGTTCTGGTGGATCGACTCGGACTCCATTATAACGGGTACGGTGGGTCGTGGGCGGCAAGGGAACGGGTTGGGGGGAGGGGGAGGGAGTGGGGAAGCGGGTAGAGGGAGTTTCCGAAAGTGAGAGGGAAGGGGATGGAGGGAGTTTCCGGGAAACAGGCGCTTGCGGGTTACCAGGAAAGGGTGACACGGCGATGCAGACGTGCGCGCAAACAGACTTCAAGTTTGAGGTGCCATGCGCATGCGCAAGGACATGAGCAAAGCATCGCTTCCGCTGACCTCATTCCTCCCGCCAATCCCTCCCGTTGCCTCTCCTTCTCCCTTTCCCCCACTCTCTCCTCCTCCACCCCCACCCCCTCCCCCCTCCCCCTCCCCCTCCCTCTCGCCCTCGCCCTCGCCCTCGCCCTCCCCTTCCCCCTCCCCCCTGTGCGCGCAGACATGAAGTTCGAGCTGCCATGGCGCAAGTACAAGGATGTGAGCATGGTGGTGCCGGGGTGGGACGACCTCGTGTACAAGCACCGCGACTGGTGAGTGTCGTTTAAAGGAAGAGGTTGAGAGCACTGCGGCTGGTGCGTCGCTTAGGGGCAGAGGGATAGAGCGCCGCGAGTGGCGAGGTGGCGCAAGTACAAGGGCGTGAGCATGGTGGTGCCGGGGTGGGACAACCTCGTGTATAAGCACCGCGACTGGTGAGCGAAGGAAGTGGCGGAGAGAGCGGAGGATGGGTGCGCGCAAAAATTGGTGCGCGCAGAGTAGCAGAGTGAGGAGAGAGAGCGGGGGAGTTCGTTGCGGTTTCCACTAGGCGGCTTTATCGTTCGCTCATATGTAACCTCTCACCCTCCTCGCATTGCCCCTGCCTGTGCCCCCCTCCACCTTCCCCCGTCCCCCCGTACCACAGGGTGGGCCTCAGCACCGGAAGCTTCCTCCTGCGCAACAACCAGGTGAGCGCCCCCCCTT